CAATTTGTGTTTGTAAACTGCCTCCACGATACAGGAGAAAATCCTAGTGTGGGGGTAACGTTTTTTAAAAAAAGATAAGATTTATTTTTTTCATCAAAATTAAATGAAATTTTAATTAAAAATATAAAAGTGCTCATGATGTGTGCATTTTTGGATTTTCCAAACAATTCTTTTTTTGTAAGAAACATTCGCTGGCGCGCGTACGCTCACTGAAGTTTCACCATATTCTTATTAATAGGAACACATAAAAGACATCTAGAGCGACACGGGCCACCAAGCTGACCGGAACGGAGTAGCCATACACAGGCGTTCGTCTCTGTCAAAGTATAAGCTCCTATGCGCACAATAAAACTATTTGCAGCCGCAGTGCTCACTAGACTAAATCTAGTTGCGCGGCCGAATCGACGTCCTACAAAAATGCCGAATTGTTCAATTCTTTACAGCAAGGTAGATCTGCCACGTCAAATTTACACAAAGATGGTGTTAACTTATGTATACTATATAATATAAGTTATTTTTAATCACATTATTGCTATTTACTTCTTTTTAAACTTAAAAATTACAATAATAACCGTCGTGTTGATTCGGATGTGACTAACACAGACCGGCGTGTTGGTCAAATCCGGTAAGGTTGGTCAAATCCGGCAAGGTTGGTCGAGCGACTCATCCCACGTCTGTGTTGAGTTGTCGTTATCACCGAGCGATAGGTACTGTTATAATTATATCTGTTGTGTGTGAAATTATTAGTATATTGTTTTAATTCTTATGTCTGAGTTTCGTAGTGACAGACGTTTGTTGTTGTGTGCGCAGATTTTCCCCCGCAAAAAAATGACAGCTAGTTTTGTATCGGGCAAAAACGCTACGGGTACTCCCCTCCGGGCTGCCGGTGGCCCGTGTTGCTCTATGCATAAAAGACGAATAAACAAATATACATTTTTATATACCAGAGCCGTGGTAGCTCAGATAGTTAGCGCTCGTTGTAAGCTTCACACTACGCTAGCAACCCGGGTTCGATCCCCACCGGCACCAATGAAATTGTTAATTGCAATTTTAAGTGCTGATTTACCACGTGCTCGGTGGTGAAGTAAAACATCGTGAGAAAACCCGCATGTCTGAGAAATAAGAAAAAAAATATTTCGAAGACACGTGAAGTTCGCCAACACGCATTGGGGCATCGCGGCGAACATTTCCTTGCCCCAAAACCCTCTCAGAAATGAGAGGAGGCCTGTGCCCAGCAGTGAGACGTAAATAGGCTGCAACTTTACTTTGCTTAATATACCAGAAGACTAGATATACTCCTTTATTTACCAAATATATATTTAAAAATATCTTCACATATGTAACTGTTACGTTAACTGTGTACGTGTGTTTGTCACTGAATTCCTCGTAAACCGATTTCGATGACATTTTTTGTGTTTGTTCGAGTGGGTCCCTGGATGCTTTAGTTTTACAATTGGACTCGGTATGTGGCGCCGTTGTCGTAATCCAGAAATCGCATGTGCGAATCCGGTGTGGATCGCTAGTAAAATATAAATCTATGCCAAACCTAAAATATCTAACCAGTTATTGGAAGCTGTAACTAACGAGTATTTGCGTGGTGATTACGACTTAACCGCACAATTAGAGAGGCCTACGTCCACTATGTTTAAAGTTCTACATAAATATGGCTTTTATTGTAAATCTGGAAAGATTTTTATATTATGTTATATTATTGCACTATAGTAAAACTAAAACAAAACAAAAAAAAACAAACTGTTAATATTGTTTTATTAACAAAGTGACGGATTTAGAATGTATTTACAAAGTTTATTTCAACCGACTTCAAAAAAAGGGGAGGTTCTCAATTCGACTGTATTTTTTAATTGTGTTACCTCAGAACTTTTTTCTTAGTGAACCGATTTTGATGTTTCTTTTTTATCTGAAAGCTAGTGCTTCTCATGTGGTGCCATATATTTTTAATTTATTTTATTGATCAAGATCTGACCAGTAATTTTTGAGTTATCCTTACTAATGCGTATTTGACTTCTACTACATTGGCGATGTTCTCATTTTATTTATATTTGTGTGTGGCCGATGGAAGGAAAAGGGGAGATCTCCCGCCGGGCAAGGTATTCTGCCCGGGGAGCGGCCAACGCTCCGAGTGGTAGTTCGGAGCTATTCTATATATACTGCTTTAACTTCGGAACTTTGTTAGCGCGATTTAGGCTTCGATGTGTTTCGCTTGTGGCGCGACGACAGCGCCGCCACAACAGTATTAATTTAATCGCCGTGTAGTGGTGGCGTATGAGGAATCCACTATCTTACATCATCCCGTGGGTGTCGTAATAGGCGACAAAAGAAATTGAAACGGAAGATGGGGCAACAGCATCTTCCTGATACTGTAAATTCGCCTGCCAAGCGTGGAAACTTGGGCAAGTATCCCGTCTAACAGGCAATCTATTAGGGAGGCTTATGTTAAGCAGTGGACTTTTGATAGGCTGGAAAAAATGATCGAATAATGGCCAAATAATCGAACGCTACTCAATTTCAGGATGTTAAGCGTCGTGACGTCACAGTCAATTTGTTACAGTTGGTAAAAATTACCTTGCGTACGTCCGCTCGATAAAATAAAATGATGTGTCTGGTGAAGAGCACCTCCCGTCCTCCCTCAATTGCGTGCACTATCACCGTCACCACTAATCCCAGCACCACTATTCCCAACACTACTACGCTAGGAAAGACCACGGACGACAATACGACGTTTTCGCCTCTACGTGCCGTATTGTCATCAGTGGTGTGTCTTAATTTTTACCAACATAATATAATGTAAAAATTATATTAAATTTAAAACTTTAATTTGATATAATTTTTACCAACTTTAATATAATGTGGTTTTCCGCAAAGTAACGTCTGATGCTATTAATTACAGTCAATTTGACTTAAAGTGATAGAGAGACAGCACGAAACTTAGCGGCATCTAAAAATTGAGCACCGTTTGAGTATTTGGGCGTTAATTAAATAATTTGACTTTTGTTGAGATAAGTCCTCTACTGCACAGTTGCTCCTTGTTAGGGGCTGTTAATACCAGGTGGCCCATAAGTCGTTAGAAATGTAAATTTCGAATAAAATACAAAAGGCGCGCATGAGTGGCACGCGCGGTGCGGGGGGAGTACCGACGGTTTCTGGGAATTCAGTCGCCATGGAGCGTTTCACCGGTGCGGACCGTGCATTTTGTGTGCGCGAGTTTTATCGAAACAATGATTCGGCTACCATTGCGCGGCGTAAATTTCGAGAATATCAGAATTTACGCAACTTTAAAGACATTCCAAGTGTTCAAACGATTAAGAACTGGGTTATTAAGTTCGAAGAGAGTGGTTCGACGTTGTATAAACAACGGTCAGGTCGACCAAGGACATCACGGACGGAAGAAAACATTGATGTAGTGAAACACTCAATTCGTGAAAATCCTACCCAGTCTACTCGTAAGCGTTCCAGTGCATTAAACTTACCCAGAACATCGTTACAGCGAATTTTAAAGAAAGATTTACATCTTCACCCGTACAAGATTCGGTTAGTACAGGAATTAAAAGATACTGACACTATCCACAGACTAAATTTCGCAAATGAAATGTTGAACCGCTTTACTTCGTTTAATAACGTGTTATTCTCTGATGAGGCTCACTTTCACATCAACGGCCATGTCAATAAGCAAAATTGTCGCTACTGGAGTTGCGAAAATCCAAATCGCAAACATCAAAAGCCCTTACATAGCCCTAAAGTGACAGTTTGGGCGGCTATGTCAGCGCATGGCATTATAGGCCCTTACTTTTTTGAGGACGGCAGAGGCCGCGCGCTTACTGTTACTTCACAACGGTATGTAGCTATGATCCAGGACTTTTTTACACCAGAGTTGCAGAATTTTCCAGGCTTCAATACGCGGACCTGGTTTCAACAAGATGGAGCAACTGCCCATACCTCTAACGTCGCTATGCCGGTCGTCCGTCAACTTTTCCCTAATAAAGTGATCTCTCGAAGAGGAGATATTCCTTGGCCACTACGTAGTCCAGATCTGACCCCAATGGACTTTTTCTTATGGGGTTATCTTAAGACTAAAGTGTACGAAACCAACCCGCGGACAATTGACGTCCTGAAAGAAAATATCCAAAGAGAAATGGCAAACATTACAGAGCTTACTTGCCACGCAGTGATGGATAATTTTAAACGTCGCTTACAGGAGTGCCGCGATCGTAACGGATTACATTTAGATGATGTAATTTTCAAAAAATAATTCCCATTTTATAAGGATTATGACAAAATAAAAACCTTTTTCATAATGTCATTAGTTTTTTTTAATTATTTTTTTACATTTCAAGGGACTTATGGGCCACCCTGTATAACGGTGTTACCTCCATGTGGTTATATTATTGTCGTATTATATCACTACAAGTCATTACAACATGTTCCTTGCTGAATCGGTGGGTATATGCATCCATCGACTCCCCTCTACACGCGTCATCAATTTGTCACTCACATACTAAGAGTTGCAGCTTGCTGTTACCAAAACCTCTCATTTTGTAAGTGGTAGAGCCATGCTGCAGGTATATTAGTAGTATAGTTGTAGCACGAATGGGTCGGCTCGACCGGGGAAGGACCACGCTCTCACAGAATACCAGCGTAAAATAGCAGCTTAACACTGCTGTGTTTCGTATGGTGAGTGTAGAGAACCGGAGACCCTTTTTACTGCAAGAGGCATTCCATCTTAGTCCTCACGGGTGACAACGTATCTGCATTTTGATTCGCAAACGAGAATAAATGTATATGTCTATGGGCCACAGCAACCACTTACCATCAGGTGGACTGTGTGCTCGTTTGTCATTCTATCCTATAAGAAAAATAATTAGAAACCTTTTCTCCCTTCCCCTTCCACTTCCATTGGTTGTCGGTTCGGTATATAGCCGGCCTATTTTTCCTGCATTTTATTTGTTATAAAAACAGCTGTTTTATGAAGTTTTCTCTTTCAGATGCGTCCGGAAAGGTTCGAATTTGGGACACTGTAAACAAGGAGCACATCCTCAAAAATGAGTTCCAACCAATTGGTGGACCGATTAAGGACATCGCGTGGAGTGCCGACAGCCAGCGTATGGTCGTCGTTGGCGAAGGCCGAGAAAAGTAAATCATACATCAATATTTTCTTTTTATATAATAAGGGTAACAAACGAACACACGATCGACATGGTGATAAGTGGATGCTGTGCCCCATAGACATCTACATCTATCCTCTATTAAGAATCAAAATACACATGCTTTGTTACTCCATAGAACTAAAATGGAATGTCTCGTTTCCTTAAAAAGGGTTTCCGGTTCTTTACACTCACCATAAGAGACACAGCGGCATTAAGCTGCTATTTTACGGTGGTATTCTGTGAGAGCGTGGTCTTACTCCGATCGAGCCGACCCATTCGTGCTACAACTATAACAGAGATGAAGCTTGGCTCTCCTACATATAAAATCAGCTTGTTAGGCTTAAACTTTTACGGTATTCTACACTGTTGCTGGGCTGGGTATATACTTGTATATCTAAGATAATGAGAGATGGTTTTGTTTCACTTACTTCTAACTTGTAATACTATCTTATACTTAACTCCCTCCCACAAAACAATAGGAGGCCTGTGCCCGACCGTGGGACGTGTTAAGGCTGTAACTTTAACTTTTATAATAACTATTATAGGTTCGGACACGTCTTCATGGCGGAAACTGGGACCTCCGTGGGTGAAATCAGCGGACAGTCGAAACCTATCAACTCGGTCGACTTCAGACCGGCGCGCCCGTTCAGGATCGTGACCGCTTCGGAGGACAACACGATCGGCGTGTTCGAGGGACCCCCGTTCAAATTCAAATGCACCAAACAAGTGAGAATTGCTAATATATATGGACCGAGAACCTTATTTTGACATATTATGAGGTCCCTAACGTCCGTTCTACTATTTTTAAATAGGTCGGGAAAAAAGTTTCTTCGTATAATGTTTGTATAAAATTGAACAAGAATCTCTTTGGTTGTACTGTTTGTATCTGGCTGGTTTTAATATCAATACATATAGGACATTAAAAAAAGAAAAAGTAAAAAATGCTCCCGCCATTTTTCAATTGTTATTCTGTGCGCCAAAATTAGTGAATCTAACGAAGGAATTCCATACATTCTGGAGTTTTATTACAAGAAAGGGAAAAATGCAACTCAAGCGGCGAAAACAATTTGTGACGTTTATGGACCTAATGCAGTGCCGGTAAAAGTAGCACAAAGTTGTTTCAAGCGTTTTCAGTCCGGGAATTTTTATGTCAAAGATGCAGCGCCGTATGAGGGCGACTAAAGCGAGCTGTCGCCAATTTTGAAAAAGTGGAGCAATATCGGCGTATTGGTAGTTAGGACATGAGACACGAGGAATTGAGGTTTGATCACAAAACAGTTCACACAGATCACAAAAGCTCAATATTTGTAACCCGCTCGCCAAGGGTGGCAACTATGGTAAATACCCCCCAAATGGATAAAGGCGGCCCCGCTATTCCTGGCTACGGTGGCGACCATGGTAACGGCGGGGCAGGGGGTGCTAAGAATCTCCGGTGGAGATTCGGTTGCCACCTACGACGACTCGACCTGGCAACATATAACGCACGCACCCTGAGGACTGACGAGAAGATCCTGGAGCTGGAAGAAGAGATAGACAAGTTGCGCTGGAATGTCATAGGATTATCCGAAGTGCGAAGAGAGGGGGAGGAAACGGTAATCCTCGAATCCGGCAACTTGCTCTATCACCGGGAGGGCGACCATCTGTCCCAAGGAGGTGTCGGATTTATCGTCCACAAGTCTCTCGTTAACAACGTTGTAAAGATTGAGAGTATGTCGACGAGGGTTGCGTACCTTATACTCAGAATCACCAAACGGTATTCGCTGAAGGTCATACAGGTTTACGCACCAACCTCGGCACACCCCGATGAGGAGGTGGAGGAAATGTATGAGGATATCTCTAGAGCGATGCATTCCTCCAAAATCCAATATACTGTGTTAAGGTGAATGGTGAACTGAAAGTAGGGAAATTTGGAATAGGGCAACGGAACCCAAGGGGCCAGCAGCTGGCCGACTTCATGGAGAAGGAGGGACTATTTATGATGAACTCTTTCTTCCAGAAGCGGCCCCACAGGAAGTGGACCTGGTCGGGCCCCGACGATTCGACAAAAAATGAGATTGACTTCATTATGACGACCAGACGACAACTGTTCAGTGATGTCTCAGTGATCGCGAGGGTGAAAACCGGCAGCGATCACCGAATGGTTAGAGGCACACTGAACCTAAACGTTAAGTTGGAGAGGTCTCGTCTAATGAAGTCAACGCTCCGTCCCCCTCGTGTTCTGTTCCAAAGTCCCGAAACCTTTCAGCTCGAGCTACAAAACCGTTTGTAACTCGAGCTGACGGGAGATGAAGCTACATTCTTCAACAGATTTGACAGGCATACAGGCAACTGAACAGACAGATCTCCAAATGCATGCGGCGGGACTTACGCAACTTTAATACAGCTCGTATTGAAGAAGCGATCGAACGGAACTAAGGCTCGAAAGTCTTTGCCAGAGATCTGTCTGCCAGAAAGAGCCAACTGTCAAAGCTGAAGAAAGAGTGTGGCAGTATCGTTTCCGGCGCACCTGAGATTTTGAGTGAGATTGAGAGGTTCTATGGGCAGCTGTACACGTCATCGTTGGAGCCACACGCAAGTGTGAGTAACGATCCAAGAGCGAGTCTTATCCGACACTATTCCGATGATATCCCGGACGTCAGTCTGAGCGAGATTAGAATGGCTCTCCAGCAATTTAAAAACGGCAAGGCCCCAGGCGCGGATAGAATTACAGCGGAGCTTCTGAAAGCGGGTGGAAAACCGGTACTTGAAGTCCTTCAGAAGCTCTTTAATTCCGTCTTCCATGGTGGCATTACACCGGAGGCGTGGAGCAGAAGTGCGGTGGTCTTGTTCTTCAAGAAAGGCGACAACGCTCTCTAGAAGAACTACAGACCGATTTCCCTTCTGAGCCTCGTCTACGTGCTGTTTTCGAGAGTCATTACGAATCGTTTCGCGCGCAGACTTGACGACTTCCAGCCTTCCGAACAAGCCGGTTTCCGAAAAGGCTTTAGCACCATGGACCACATACACACCCTTCGGCAAATTGTACAGAAGTCAGAGGAGTACAATTTGCCACTATGTCTGGCGTATGTGGACTATGAGAAAGCCTTTGATTCCGCCGAAATTTGGGCGGTGCTGCAGTCCCTTCAGCGGTGCCAAGTTGACTGTCGGTATATCGAAGTGCTGAAGTGCCAGAGTATGAAACCTATCCAATTGCAGAGAGGTGGAAGACAGAGTGACGACATATCACCGAAACTCTTCACCGCTGCATTGGAAGACGTTTTCAAGCTTCTGGACTGGAAAGGATACGGTATCAACATCAATGGCGAGTACATCACTCACCTTCGATTTGCCGACGATATAGTCCTTATGGCAGAATCGCTGGAGGACCTAAGCACTATGCTCAATGACCTCAATAGTGCTTCCCAACGGATAGGTCATCATTACAGCCCTTCACAAGTCCACTGCTGAACATAGGCCTCCCCCAAGGAATGCCACAAAGCACAGTCCTGAGCCACCTGCATCCATCGACTTCCTGTATATCTAACCAGGTCGTCACTCCATCTAGTGGGGGGACGCCCTACACTTCGTCCGCCAGTAGGTAAATATACTGAGAGGCCAAAGTTAATATTTCTTTAAATTTATCTCTAAGAGACTCTCTCGGTTTTAGATTGTAAATAGCTCTAATGGCCCTCTTCTGTAAAACAAAAATATTTTCTGAATCTGCCGCATTTCCCCATAGCAAAATCCCATAAGACATTATGCTATGGAAATAACTGAAATAAACTAATCTAGCTGTCTCGACACTAGTGACACCTCTAATCTTTTTTATAGCATAGACTGCAGAACTTAGTCTGCTTACTAATTTTGATATATGGCCCCACTGAAGCGTTGTGTCGAGAGTGATGCCAAGAAAAACAGTGGATACAACAGGGCTCAATTTCTCCCCATTTAAAAACACATTGGTATTCAGATTTTTAACACTCGTTGTTGTAAATTTAACACAATTAGTTTTATTTCCATTCAAATGCAGATTATTAACGTTAAACCAATGCACTAATTTTGATATAGCATTATGAAAAACAGTCTGTACGTCTATGACTTGCGTGGAAATAAAATCAATTTGCATATTATGCTCAATCAATGCCCGTTGGGTACAAGTACCTTTCTCAGAGCGGGGTATTGATGCACTGTATCAATAAAGTCGGTTTTATCTGCCGACTTCCAAAAAGGAGGCGGTACTCAATTCGACGCGTATGTTTTTTTTATGTGTGTTACCTCATAACTTTTTACTGGGTGGACCGATTTCGATGATTATTTTTTTATATGAAAGCTGATAGTTCTCGTGTGGTCCCATATGAATTTGATCAAGGTGAGACCAATGGTTATTGAGTTATTCTGAAATAACTTATATATCTTCATAGAAATACATTTTCGAAAACAATGGGATAACCCGCCGTTAATTACTGAGCGTGAGTGTGTGTGTGTGAGCGCGAGCGTGTGAACGTGAGAGAGAGAAAGAGAGAGAGAGAGAGGGAGAGAGCGTGTAAATGAATGGATTATGGCCTATGCCCAATACTTATTATAGTTATGAACAATAGAACTCAAAGTATGTATAAGTTTTTTAATTAAAAATTAAAAATATATATATAATATTCTAATAATATAATATTCTCTTTTAGGAGCACACTCGTTTCGTGCAAGCAGTCCGCTACAGTCCCGATGGAAGTCTTTTCGCTTCCGCTGGGTTCGACGGCAAAATATACCTATTTGACGGTGCCACTTCCGAGCTTAAAGGCGAGGTAATATATTAAGTTTAATAAATAATTAATGTATTAAGAAACCAATATATGCCGTAATTTACTAAGCAAAAAGCTTAGTACGGCATATATTGGTTTCCTTTTTTAAATAAGAATGACAGGTGTCAAGGCAAGCTGGTAAACTCAAAATCAATTTTATTCATTCTTTTATTTATTCTTTACAGCCTATCATAAGTTCACTGCTTAAAATATACCTCGCGTATAGCTTGCTTAGATGATAGAGAGCCGAGGTAGCTCAGATGGTTAGCGCTCGCTGTACGTTTTACAGTACGCGGGCAACCCGGGTTCGATCACCGCCAACACCAATGAAATTGTAAATTGCAATTTTAAGTGCTGATTTATCACGTGTTCGGCGGTGAGGGAAACATCGTGAAGAAACCTGCATGTCTGAGAAATAAGAAAAAATATATTTCGAAGACGTGTGAAGTTTGCCAACACGCATTGAGGCAGCGCGGCGGATATTTCCTTGCCCTAAAACGCTCTCAGAAATGTGAGGAGGCCTGTGCTCAGCAGTGTGATGTATATAGGCTGTAACTTTATAGTTTGCTTCATAGTGGAGATAATATTTGCAGCGTTGCCACACTTGGCAAGCAGGTTGGCAACTACTAATTAAGCAACTATTAATCAGGAAGATGCTTTTTTATGGAATTAGGGTGACGAACGAGCACACAGTTTACCTGTGCACCTGTGGATGCTGTGGCCCATACAGATAGCTATATCTATCCCATTTGAGTTTCCGTCTGTAGCTTTTGACAACACTTACGGTATGATATGAATAGAAGTTAATAATTTTTATTCAATTTAGATTTCATGTTGTAATTATTATTTCAGGAAGGCAGGAATTCCAGTGGCACTTTTTTTTTTCAAAGTATTTTTGCATTCTTTTACGCTTACGTACTAAATCTCATTGTTTCTGTATACCACGTTTTTTTCGTTGTTGAGTTACTTGTGATTCTCTCTCAAAATTAACCAGCTTAACAATCGCTCAATTCTTTCACAGATTGGTTCTCCAGCTCATAAGGGTGGTGTGTACGGTATCTCTTGGTCTCCGGATGGCAAGAAACTGTTGTCCTGCTCTGGAGACAAGACCTGCGCGATTTGGGATATTGAGACCATGCAGCGGACAACTACTTTCAATATGGGCAATGCTGTTGAAAATCAACAGGTCTATAGAATTTGTTATTAATATCTGTGACTCAGAGTTAATTTTTTTTAGTAACCGTTGGTTACTCATTCTGTATTTTTTTTTATTTGCTTGCTCGGATTCGAACCTGTGCTGCGGCTTAGTTCTTTTACCCCTGAGCTTATTATTATCATAATATTCCCAGGTATCATGCTTATGGCAAGGCAAGCATTTGCTCTCGGTGTCATTGTCCGGGGTGATCAACTACCTGGACGTGGATAACCCGGATAAGCCACTTCGTGTATTGATGGGACACAACAAGCCCATCACCTGCCTTGCTCTGCAACCGACCACCAAAACAGTCTTCACCGCCAGCCACGATGGATGCGTCACTTCCTGGAACACTACAACCGGTAAAATGAAAGTTTCTGTTTTAGTTAAAAAAGTGATATACACTCGGAATAAACACTAAGAACAAACACAATTTAGTACACTCTGTAAACACTAAAAAACAAACACAACTTAGGGATACCAGTTTCTCTACTCCACAGGGTAACTCATTCATGGGACAATGCAACAAAGTCCCAGAAAACATACAGTCTCTCTAATACCAAGTTTAAATATTTTATTAAACAAAGACTGTATAAAAAATGGTTATTACAATATAAATGAATACATGGTTGATAATAACCACTGGGAATGAGGTGGTCACTTTCAAGCTCTTTCTTAAATAGGTTTTGTAGATAGTTTGTACAACCTTTCTTATTTTATAATTTACATTTAAAAAAAAACTCCCGTTGGGTTTCTTGCTGGTTCTTCCCAGGAGAGAGGTTTTTCCCGAACCAGTGGTAAAAGCAAATAACCGGCCAAGTGCGAGTCGGACTCGCGCATGATGGAACCCTTCGTAATACACGATCCTAGTAGGGGATATCCTTTTAATTTATTTTAATTATTTGTTGTTATAGCGGCAACAGAAATAAACATTGTGTGAAAATTTCAAGTGTCTACCTGTTACGGATCATGAGATACAGCCCGTTGACAGACCGACGGACGGACGGACGGACAGCGGAATCTTATTGATGTAATCTATATTAGATAAAAATATTCTATTCAAATTTTAATAAAAATATACTATTCATGATTTGGATTTATTGTAACTTATAAGCCACTGAACAACTACTTACCGTGTAGTGGCGTAGTTCGCGAAACAGGAGATTGCCAGCAGAATCCTGCCGATAACAACTCAAAAAATAATATAAATGCGATGTTGCCAACCCATCTGCCAAGCGCGACAACTTCGGCAATAATTCCTTCCTTAAGTCTTTTTTGTAGAGATTTCATTTATTTTATTTTTTTATTTAAAAATCTTTATTGCACTTAAGATGTACAATTGGCGGACTTAATACTTTTAAGCATTCTCTACCAATCAACCACGAGCTAAGCAGAGAAACTTAAGCAGGTGTCATAAAAACTTTAGAATATATACGTGAATTTAAATATAAACATATACATACTATACTTGTAAATACAAAAATAAATATATATCACTACAAATAACCTAAATAATATACTCTATACATGATACATAAACATACATAATTTTAAACAATACATAATACATACATTTTAAGCATACTTACATACAAACATTTTATACAAAAACAATTTAAGTAATTTATAATACACTTATACAGGAACATTTAAATAAGAAGGTCAGTTGATGAAAGAAGAAAGGTATTGATCAGTCACCATTCTTTTAAAGGCTGCAACATAAGTCGATTTCCTGATATGAGGAGGCAAATTATTCCATAGCCTTATGGCCTCAGCGGCGAAAGACTGAGACGTAAATTTAGTACGGCGAGGAAAAACACATAAAGTAGTTCCCTCGGAGGATCTCAGGTTACGATCGTGGGAAGAACCCAAATACTGGATATATATACAATAATACATTTATGGAAAGAATAATTTTAAATGAGCTTAAACAGAATTAAACGTAGTGGCGGTGTAATATCCACTGCTCCATTTCGTCCCGTGGGCGCCGTAAGAGGCAATAGAGGGGCACAAATCAGGAGATGGGAACGCAACGTCTTCCTAATAGTAACATAAAAAAATGGCGTTGCCCACCCGTCTGCCAAGTCTACCAATCTATAGTGAGGTCTATGTTCAACAGTGGACTTTATACTCTTAACTTTTGATAGGCTGTGATGACGATGACGAAACTGAATTTTAATATAAGACTTTGTATTTTTGTTCTCAGGTGAAGGTCGTCACATCGGAGGTGCAGGCCACGGGAATCAGGTGAATGGAATGTGCGCGGGCAAAAATGGCTCCTTGATAACTTGTGGCATAGACGACTCGCTGCGATTTGCTGTTCCCAGCGCTGAAGGTAGCTATCAACAGTTTTACGGGTTTTATTTTTTTAGAGTAAGAGTGAAAAATTAGCACACAGTCCACCTGATGGTAAGGCGATACTGCTGTGTGTATATAATTCCACCACTGAGGACCAAGATGAAATGCCTCGTTTCCAGTAAAAAGAGTCTCCGATTTTCTACACCCACCGTACGAAACGAGGCGGCATTAAGCTGTTATTTTACGCTGGCATTTTGTGGATCTCATAAATCATAAGAGAATCTATGACTTCGTCATAGTAGTGGAAGAATAAAGGATACGTCGCACTACTGGGCAGAGGCCTTGCATTACTAGGTTTAGCTCGAATTATGCTGAATCGGTAGCCTTTTTGTTGCAATCCATATCTTTTAATTAAATATTTTGTTAAGTTTTATTTCTATTTTTTAAGCAATGAAATGTTATACACATTTACGGCATTTGCAAAAACTAATCATATAAACTAAGTGTGAGCCAAAATTTAAAAGCGTGTATAAAATATTGTCACTACAGTCGTAAATACAGTAGAATTGTAAAGTTTCCGTTTTTTAATTCAACTAAAAAGGTTAGTTTATAGCTCACGCAGTAAGAGATTAATTAATAGCCCAGATAGTTCTGGATAGTGAATGCTGACGCCGCCATTACATTACAGTGTATATATCCGATGAGTGTCGTAAGAGGTGACAAAAGCATCTTTTGGTTAAAAACCCAAAAAAATACCGCAGTTGCCAAGTGTGGCAACTATGGCAAAATCCCTCCTATGAGGCAATCTATGGGGAGGTCTGTTTTCAGCAGTGGACTTTTATAGGCTGTTATGAATGCATGGATACTGTTTTAAATCTAATTTTCCTTAGTATTTGTTTCTTTTGTTAATTAGGTGAAGTGCCTTCATACACTGACAAATGTGTGCCTTTGGGGTCCCAGCCTCGAGCCTTGGACCATATAATGGATGAAGATATGACAATTGTTGCCACTGTTAAAGAAGTGAGTACATTCATTAATACACATAAGAATTAAACTATTCAAGTAATATGTACTATATACTAGAACAGCCACCGCGAATATAATATACACTTAATACGTTTTATCTTTTAAATGCAAAATGCGTGGAAATGCCTATTTTGAAATGATTTTTAAATGTTTTGATTGACGCACGCACACATTCGTAAGGGTCGCTTGGTTACAAATTTAGGTACCTTATTGGCCGTCTTCCTGCGCTCTTCCCTTCCGTTAACCGTTACACTGTTAGGTAACTACGTCGGCTCGGCCGACCGACAGTTGACAGTGGAGGTGGGCAAAGTGTATCATTTTTGCGATTGGAACATTTGCATCTTGATCACTGAAATCGAAACACTGATATGTTTAATTTGGATCATCGACTCAAAAGATATAAAAGAAAGAATGTTCCGAATAGGTACACATTAATTTGCGTCGCGGGCGTTTATTACTGACTGATCCGTGAAATGTTATGTGGCAACAATGCTGAATAATATAAGTGCATAGATTATTTATTGAGTACCGTAATAAGATTGTATATAAAATCGATTCTCCTTTATACTTTAACAAAAATGTCACTATGTCAATTCATTATTTACAAAAATGTCCATTTACACAAAACAGCAATGTCTATGTACACAGAATTTACTCGTAAAGTATCATAACTCTAAACTTTATGATGAAAAGAAAGAAAGTAAAGTCTCAATAATCACTACGCAAAGAAATCGTAAACACAACTCAGTATGTTTTCGTAAACAGACGCTAATGAATATAAACAATTTGACAAGTGCCGCATCAACGTAAAATGACAACTTGTTAATGCAAACGTTACATACAAAAAACGACCGTATAGTATTTGACATATAAGCGCCTTAGTGGTAATTTTTACGTGCATGAATAACGTCAGCGAAAATCCGTACGAGTTGAGTGATACACTTCTTATTTGTTATCTCTATCTGACTTGTGTGGATTATAATTATTTCGCCCGCTCACTCGCCACTCGTGAGTCAATAGTTAAGTTAATCATTGTCTCAGTCTCTCTCTCTCTCTCGCTCGTGGCTCAGTCGCCTCGCAAGCGACGCGTCGCGCGAAATGAGCAAATAGCAAAGTAATGTTTCACTGTTCCAGATCCAAATGATACATTTGAAACGTTGTTACTGAACCAATCTTTTGTGTCACTTCAGTGATTCGTATCAGTGAGTGGTTTCCGTAAAGAGATACACACGCCTAGTTGACAGTGTTGACCGTGACCGTGACCGTGACGTACGAGTGTGCTATTTTTAAATTTTCGTAGGTAGCGTCCCTTCGTAACCAATGACGGAATGAAAATATTTGAACTGCGAATACAATGAAACTATGAAAAAGTGCGTTGTTACATTTTAAGCAATGAAAGTTTATGTGGTGCGCAAAGATTATACGAAATTTAGTCTTTACCGCGGCAAGAAACTGACGTACGTGTACCTACTATTCGAAGAACAATTGACAGGTTGTCAAACTATTCAAGTGCAATTTAAATAGTGAAAATGAAGATAAGTTGATTGCGCATGGAGGCCTTATACTATTGCCTACAAACTCGCCATACCTTTAATCGTTAGACTTTCATCTGTGGGGTGTGGATAGAATCGTGTTTACGTGAAAGATGTCCAAAGTTATGAAGACCGCCGCAGCAAAATTATTGGTAGATTCACGGAAGTTAAAAGTAAAAGTGCTCAAGCACAGGTAAAAAATAATTTAAGAAAACGTGCTTATCAATGCATAGAGAGAAACGGATTTCATTTTGAAGTACCAAAAAATTTTTTATTGGATTTATGTTTACATGCGTAATTTAGTTGTTAACATTTTATTCCAAATTTGTTAAATACGCCGTTGATAACCAAAAAAATTTATTTTATTTTATTTATTATGACGATCCTTAGTCCATTAACTTAAAAGTATAAAGAGAAGATTGGAATCGTAATACGCATCGTGTAGTTATTAATTAAGCAATAGTAGTGTTGCGCGCCACTATTAATGTTTTGTACATGGCAACACTAGTTATACTAGCGCCCCCTAGTGTCGAGTAAATGAAAGTATTGCGCGCCACTATTAATGTCTTGTACATGGCAACACTAGTTACACTAGCGCCCTCTAGTGTCGAGTAGCAGAACTAGGAGAGTCGAGATCCTTCCAGAAATTTCGGGACCGATATGTACTCGAACATTCTAGATGTCGCTACAGTAGAAGGTTCTGGAAACTATCTGAGGCCCTATATAAGGCCGGTATAGACCACGACCGGGGCAGTATTGAATTGGCGATACAAGAGAATACTTCGAAGCGAAATAACGGCGAACTGTGTTTTATTATTAGTGTGATTTTAGATTGTAATTAGTGTCCCAATGGGACAGCTTGCTGATTCAGGATGGAGTCCTGTGCCGTAAATGGGAAAATGGTCGGGGAGACAGGTGTCATTTGCAAATGGTTGTCCCTAAGGCTAAAGTGCCGGATGTTCTACAGCTGTACCATAGTGGTTGTTCAGGAGGCCACCTGGGAGTTAAACGAACTCTCCTGAAGATCCGAGAACGGTTTTACTGGGTCCACTGTCGTGACGATGTCGAGGACTGGTGCCGCAAATGTACAAGTTGTGCGGCTGTAAAGGGACCTCAAATTCGTAGTAGAGGCGCATTGAAATTGTACAATGTTGGTGCACCATGGGAGAGGATAGCCATTGACGTTGCGGGGCCGTTTCCAGAAACTGAAAGTGGTAACAAGTATTTCATGGTAGTGATGGATTACTTCTCTAAGTGGCCAGAAGTCTTCGCCATTCCAAATCAAGAAGCTTAAACAGTTGCAGATAAACTAGTTCATGAAGTCTTCTGTCGTTTTGGAGTACCTTTAGAGATTCACAGCGATCAAGGAAGGAATTTTGAGTCTCAAATATTCCAGGAAACTTGCCGAGTTATAAGTACTCAGAAAACACGAACAACTTCTTACCACTCACAATCTGATGGTATGGTAGAAAGATTTAATCAGACATTGGAGAGGTACCTAGCAAAAGTTGTGGAAAAACGGCAACGAGACTGGGACAGGCACATACACCCGTTTTTGTTGTCATATCGAAGCGCTGTTCACGAAAGTACATCAGTGACACCAGCTTTCGCAAACTTTGGGAGAGAATTGCGGCTGCCTGCAGACCTGATCACCGGAATACCACCTGATGCCCCACGCAGTATAACCGATTATGCAAATGACTTGCGGAACAAAATGAATGACATTTATGAGCACGTCAGACAGACGGGCCAGCAAACGTCTGAGAAGATGAAAACACGGTATGACCGCAAAATGAACAACAAGGGGTTTGATGAAGGTTCACTAGTGTGGTTACACAATCCAGCTCGCAGCAAAGGGAAATCTCCTAAGCTTCAAGCTAAATGGGACGGACCGTACCGGTTTGTGACAAGGATCAATGATGTAACCTACCGGATACAGAAAGGTGCCAGAGGTACTCCTAAGATTGTCCATGTGGATCGACTGGCGCGTTATTATGGGGCCAATAATGCTCGGGACGAGCATGTCTTAGGAGGGGACAGTGTTGCGCGCCACTATTAATGTCTTGTACATGGCAACACTAGTTACACTAGCGCCCCCTAGTGTCGAGTAAATGAAAGTATTGCGCGCCACTATTAATGTCTTGTACATGGAAACACTAGTTACACTAGCGCCCTCTAGTGTCGAGTAGCAGAACTAGGAGAGTCGAGATCCTTCCAGAAATTTCGGGACCGATATGTACTCGAACATTCTAGATGTCGCTACAGTAGAAGGTTCTGGAAACTACCTGAGGCCCTATATAAGGCCGGTATAGACCACGACCGGGGCAGTATTGAATTGGCGATACAAGAGAATACTTCGAAGCGAGATAACGGCGAACTGTGTTTTATTATTAGTGTGATTTTAGATTGTAATTAGTGTTGTGTAATTAAAGTGTCAATTTTGGTAATTCAATCGGCAGTTTTTAATTGTCTCGAACCCCAAGCTTGTAACAGTAGTAAGAGTGCCCCTAAGAAAGTAAACAGTACAGCCAAGTCTGGCAACTTTACCAATGGAAGTTAACTTTGCCATCAGGGATGTACTGGTACAAAATTACGATTAACACGGAAAACGTAACGTTTTTTAAGATATGCCATTATTTGGATGAAAATACAATAACTAATTGACAGCATTGCTTTTGATACAGCGACATGAGAGTTAATTTTGGCATTTTATTTTAACGCGGAATTGTGCCGGCGAAATAACCCCTTTATTCAGTGCTCAGTGCAATGTGAATTGAATCGCACAGACAAGCGCGTTTACGGGTTGCCTATAAATCACATTCAATTTGTGATGATTTCAAATAAAACTAGACGCCTTATTTACTTGTATTTTCAACAACTACAATAATGGTATATCATTATTTATAGTATATTTATAGACGTGGTCCTTCACTACTGGCCGGATGAGGAAGCTCAAGGTCGCTCAGCGAGCTATGGAGAGGGCTATGCTCGAAGTTTCTCTGCGTGATAAACTCAGAAATGAGGATATCCGCAGTAGAATTAGAGTGACCGACATAGCCCAACGGATTAGTAAGCTGAAGTGGCAATGGGCCGGCCATATAGCTCGAAGAACCGACAACCGATGGGGAAGAAAGGTTCTCGAGTGGCAGCCTCGTACCGGCAGGCGAAGTGTAGGGCGTCCCCCCACTAGATGGAGTTACGACCTGGTAAGATATGCAGGAAGTCGATGGATGCAGGTGGCTCAGGACCGTACTTTGTGGCATTCCTTGGGGGAGGCCTATGTTCAGCAGTGGACTTGTGAATAATGATTATTTATATATTTGAACTTAAACATAACATTTGGATACTCTTTGAAAAATAACCCTGTATAACACGGACTAAGTTTTAGCCCATGGGCTCTAACGTGTGTTACAAACGGCCAAGTTTCAGTGTCTCCTCTAGTACGTATATATGTACGTATATATAATAATATGTATATATTAAACGCACATACCGACAAATGTGTACCGTTGTGCCGTTGCACGCTACTATTGCATGTGCAAAGCTTATTTTCTAGGTTCTAGGTGGTTAGGACACCTTTTATGCCAAGGAGTACCTCTGGGTATCCACCCCTTATCTATTATCTATATCTATTCCTGTGGTCAAGCGGTAGTGAGTGTATTGTTGTGTTCCGATCTGAAAGGTATAGATTGCCTCGTTCGTCTGGTGTTCGTAAACGCAGTTGTTCATCATGAGGTCCAGAGTTATTGTGTATTTCTGTCAAGAAATCCTCAGTTGCAGCCCGGAGTCAGATAGTTGGCGGGTTGCACCCCCGTGGCTCGGAAGGCACTTAAAGCCGTTGGTCCTGCGACTGATCTCGCTCCGGTCGTGTCAGCTTACCGTCTCACCGGAATATGAGAGTGAGGGAATAGATTGCACCTGTGTTTGCGCACACACTCGTGCACTATAATCCTGTACTGCGCTAATGGCTAGTCTCCGTTAAGACTGGCCGCCGTGACATTCAGTCAGGAAGACAATATTATGGAGAGCCAATATAATTATGTATAGTATCGAGCATGAGAAAACTGTTTGCGATTTGTGCCCGATTTACTTCGATTCTTTTATGATGAGCGAACGAATGAAAAATAATACTCGACTCGCATCGATTCAATGCTGGTAATTTCGGCTGTAAGCGACGCCAGCTTTGATAGTGCTTGCAGACAGAATTGCTTAAACATATAACATTTTGTTTTACAGCTACTGGTCCTAGCGGGCAGCAGCAAACGGTCAAACTTGCCTGTGAGCTACGAACCGAGCTGTGTTGCTATCGAACCTAAGTCCAAGCACGTCGCTGTTGGTGGTAAGTAGACTGCATAGACTAGTTTGCTACACTTTAAGTAGAGTGCCTTGAGACGGTTTCCTTTATAAGTTTATCACAGCCTCTTCCATTTGAGGAAAGATTTGTTGTAATCACCAGGCAATGATATTTTCTTCGTCTTTCCCATTGTTACATTTTATTTAATGGGACAAGGTACAGAAGCAAAAACTTCGCAAATGGCGGCTCCCCTCACCATGCAAGATGCTCTTCTTTCTATCGTAACTGTTTATCTCTTTTGACGTGGTACGTGTAACGTATGCCGTGTAGGGGCGGTGTAAGAATATCCATATCATCCCGTGGGTGTTGTAAGAGGTGACAGAGGGAAACAAATCAGGAGATTTTGATTGGATTTGAGATTCTGTAAGTGGTAGAGCCATGCTGCAGCTATATTAATAGTATAGTTGTAGCACGAATGGGTCGGCTCGACCGGTGAAGGACCACGCTCTCACAGAATACCAGCGTAAAATAGCAGCTTAACGATGCTGTGTTTCGTATGGTGAGCGTAGAGAACCGGAGACCTTTTTTCCTGGACAAGAGGCATTCTTATTATTATCTTAGCCCTCATGGGTGACAACGCATCTGCATTTTGATTCTTTATAGAGGATAGATGTGGATGTCTATGGCTCGCAGCAACTACTTACCATCGGGTGGACTGTTTGCCCGTTTGTTACCCTAGCCTATAAAAAAAAGATGTATGGCAAATATTCTCCCTCTGAAACAATCTATGGGGGATCCTATGTTCTGCAGTGGACTTTAATAGGCTGTGCGGCAACAGTAACGGTGTCAGAGGTGTCTTCTTGTGACGAAAATGTGTCTTCATGTGAACGAGCGGCTTCTGATCTCTCTGTGGTGCAGTGGCTTAGCATTGAGCTGCAGCGCTGAGGGTCGCGGTCTTAAATCCCGCATGGAACAAGTATTTGTATGGCCTACAAATGCTTGTTCCGGGTCTGGATGTTTATCCTTGTGCAATTTATGTTTGTAAACTGCCTTCACGATACAGAAGTAAGTCCTGATGTTGCAAAAATATTTTTAATTGCATTTTAGGGGGTAATCTCCACACAAAGATTTCTCCTGTATCCACCTGGAACAATGATTTGTAGGCCATTAAAATATTTGCTACATGCAGATAAAATATTTTTGTCTTCGATGTGTATTACATGAAGCATTTTATTTTTTAGGTGCGGATAGCAAAGTACATATTTACTCTCTGGCATCCGGCTCGCTGTCGCCGAAGACTGAACTGACCCATCTAGGACCTGTGACGGATGTTCGCTACAGTCCAGATTCTATGTATTTAGTTGCCAGTGATGCAAATCGAAAACTTATCCTGTACAGCGTTGATGAATATAAGGTAGGTTCACCTATAGAATTTTTTGTATATTTTGCCATATGGTGAAGTTATAAGGCAATATATCACACCATTTCATATGGATCAACATGTCATAAAGGTATGACTTTTGATGTAGTTATTTATGGTTATATGAATGGGTCGTCCCGACCGGGGAAGGACCATTTCACAGAATACCAGCGTCAAATAGCAGCTTAATGCTGTGTTTCTTATGATGATTGAAGATAACCGATTTTCACTGGTAACGAAGCATCCCATCTTAGTAATCAGGGGTGTAAACGCATATTTTGATTCTCAATTGAAGATAATGTAGATGTATATGGGCCATAGTATCCTTATTTTATAAAAAATACGTCACTACTGAGAACTGAGATGGAATGCCTTGTTACCAGTAAAAATCCTGTTCTTTTTATTTTATAATAAACTAGCTGTCCCTCGCGGCCTCGATTTCAAGGGTTTTAATATTTTTGCACGGACCCTTGATTTTTTTTCTAAAATAAAATTATTCTAAGATACTCCTTATAACATCAGCTATCTGCCAGTGAAAGTCCCGTCAAAATCGGTCAAGCCGTTTCGGAGATTAGCCGTAACAAACAGACAGACAAAACTGTTGAAAATTGTCTATTTGTTATTAGTACCGTTTATACTTTCATATGCATTTAGTAAATAGCTGTTATTTTAACATTACCAACAGACACTTCAAATTTATTTATTTGTATAGATTTGCACAAAGTTAACATCTATTTCTATTCATATCATCATCATCATTACAGCCCATCATAAATCTACTGCTGAACATAGGTCTCCGCCAAGGAATGCCACAAAACACGGTCCTGAGCCACATGCATCCATCGACTTCCTGCATCTCTTAACATGTCGTCACTCCATCTAGTGGGGGGCCGCCTTCACTTCGTTTACTGATACGAGGCCACTTGATAACCTTTCTTTCCCATCGTTGTCGATTCTTTGAGATATATGACCGGCCCGTTACCGATTCGGTTTACTAATACGTTGCGCTATGTCGGTTACCCTAGTTGTAATGCAGATATCCTTATTTTATATAATACTAGCCATCCGCCTCGGCGTGGCACGGGTCATTTCGAGATAACAAATCTACCTACCGCATCCAATTTCGATCTTAAACAATCTAGGGACCTATTCAAACACAAAAAAAATTCATGAGAATCGGCCGAGCCAGTTTCTAGTTTTAGCGAGACTAACGCACAGCAATTGATGTTATACTGTGTAGTAATGGTGTAAGAATATCCTCACTCCATATCGTCCCGTGGTTGTCGTACACGAGAGACCGAGAACAGAGAGAAACAAACAACGACTAGAATGTAAACAAACTGTGGTTGCCGATCCGGTCTACCAAGCGTGGCAACTATGGCAAAACTATGAAACATCCCCACTATGAGGCAATCTATGAAAGATCAGGCCTCTGTCACTCTTGCTACCTGCTTGAAATAATTACCTACAATCGCGAGGCGCCCCCGGGGCAGAACGCAGTCGGGGCTAGCGCGTTCTAGGCGATTGAATGTTAAAGTTTTTTAACGCTGTTTACGTAAATAATTGTTGAAATACTTATCGAAATAGTGTTCGTTTAGTGTTTAGTATATTTAATTGTAGGATAAAATACTTGAAAGAGTTTTAATCTAATTTAAGAATTATATATTTATACATATATTACCTATCTATTTCATAAATTATAATTGTAAAACGTCGCCCCAAGGATCCCGTTGCAAGGATGGGGATGGATGCCTAATGAGCAAACAAAAGGACTCGTATATATTATTTTTTAACTTATCGAAGCATAATGATTTTATTTCATTTTTTTGTTAGTTATAGCGAAAAAAAATTAAGTAATAATTTAACTACAGAAGTAATACCTAAGTACTTTGTTACACAACTAAGTTGAAATTTAAAAAATTTAGACGGCTCCGTGGCGCAGAGGCTTGGCAATAAGTTGCAGCACCAAGGGCCGCGGGTTCGAATCCCGCACGGAACAAGTATTTGTATGGCCTACAAATAATTGTTCCGGGTCTGGATGTTTGTCCTTGTGAAATTTATGTATGTAAACTGTCCCCACGATACAGGAGAAAACCCTAGTTTGGAGGTAAAGTTTTATTTAAAATACAAGAAAAAAGAAAAAGAATTTATTTACTTCACTACCTAAGTACCTACTTACATAATACTTCTATAATTAAAATATTTTAAGTTATAATAACACAAAATACTGAGATTAAAACTTTGTTTACAAGATATTTAACTAAATAGAATATGATCACATTTCTGTTAGGAATCGCATTTCGTGTTTTTTTGTTGTTTACACTATTTACCTATTTCTTTCGAACCAAACATCGCGATTCCCGACGAATGGCCTTGCAAGTTGCATGCGTTAAGTATCACAGAACTCACACAGAAATATGGTCGATCATAACTTACAATTTCACAATGTATTTTTTAACTCTTTATTAACAGCCTTTAGTAACCACGGAAAGTCCGTCGTGACGTAGTAAGGAGAAAAGATGCAAAGTAATACGGACACTCTCACATTTCTGTTAAGAATCGCATTTCGTGTTTATTTGTTGTTTACACTATTTACCTATTTCTTTCGAACCAAACATCGCGATTCCCGACGAATGGTCTTGCAAGTTGCATGCGTTAAGTATCACAGAACTCACACAGAAATATGGTCGATCATAACTTACAATTTCACAATGTATTTTTTAACTCTTTATTAACAGCCTTTAGTAACCACGGAAAGTCCGTCGTGACGTAGTAAGGAGAAAAGATGCAAAGTAATACGGACACTCTCACATTTCTGTTAGGAATCGCATTTCGTGTTTATTTGTTGTTTACACTATTTACCTATTTCTTTCGAACCATACATCGCGATTCCCGACGAATGGCCTTGCAAGTTGCATGCGTTAAGTATCACAGAACTCACACAGAAATATGGTCGATCATAACTTACAATTTCACAATGTATTTTTTAACTCTTTATTAACAGCCTTTAGTAACCACGGAAAGGTCGTCGTTACGTAGTAAGGAGAAAAGATGCAAAGTAATACGGACACTCTCGCGCAGCGATAAAGTTTTATTTAGCTTGCGTGCGCGATTTATCTGATTAGTAATAACTATCTAGGCTATTTAAACGTCGGCAAGCAGTCAACATCATAGGAGTGCAACTTCTATACTTAGTACAATTGTTTATTCTGTGGAAGGAGGCCCATGTTCAGCCGTGGACTTTGATAGATGATGTGATGATTAATCCAAAATTGCTTGCCCCTTACAGCTTGCCCATAATAAAGAATGGGGCTTCCACTCTGCTCGTGTGAACTGCGTCGCTTGGTCTCCAGACTCGAAGAGGATCGCTTCTGGCTCTTTAGACACCAGTATCATTATATGGAGCGTTGAACAACCAGCCAAGCACATTATTATTAAAAGTGAGTAATTATGTTTGTATATTTTTTCTTACTCTAGAAGAAAGTCCTTGCCCTTCAATGTTTTATGCACTCTTACATTTTATGAATTCCTTACCTCTGTCGACTAAACGTGCTCAATCCTTACATTTGTTCAAGAAACAGATTAAGGAATGTTATTTGTCTTTCTGACCCCTCTCTCTTCCTCCTTTCGTTTATGGTCATTGATCTATCGGCTAAAGTCTGTTGTCTTTTTGGTGCATATACAAATCACTATATAGTCTGTAGTTTAAGTATAAGACTGTTGCTTTAATATCTACGGTTTACTTTTACATTATAACTAATATTCCGCTCCGGCTACGCACCACACCAACCCGGTCCAACTATAGCTAAAAACCAGCCGAGTGACCCCATAAATACCTCATAATAATTTTATCAAAATTGGTCAAGCCGTTTAGAAAGAACATGATTACGAACACATGCACACCGGAGTGTTATTTTATATATAAAGATTATTATAATTTCCCCTGTTATACAATGTATATTTATATTTACCCTGTTAATTTATATTAGCTCTGTCGATTAAACGTTTAATTAAATCATGTAAGTCTAATAATATATAGAAGATGGGACAGATTAAGAGTGTACCTTTAACCGATGAGCTTGTACGTCTAGAAATTCGGTCAGGAGGCCATTAATTGGTTTATAGTTGCACCCGATTAACCATTTCGAATATACATTTATATATTTAATATGTTTGCATTAAGTTTAAATTAAGTCACTTGATTTTGGCAAAATCCTCCTTATGAGACAAAACCGATGGCGAAGGCCTATGTTCAACGGTGGACTTTATAGGCTGTAATGAATGGATCTATATTGGAACTTGTTTGTACTTTGTTTACTTAAGTTAATATAATTTGTATTGTTAATTTCCAGACGCCCATCCACAAAGCCAGATCACAGGGCTGACGTGGTTGGATGACGAGTCCGTGGTCTCAGTGGGTCAGGATGGCAACACTCGCGTGTGGAACATACCCAAAGCTTAAGTGCGATCTCTATCGACTTCGAACATTTCTACTGACACTTAAGAGCTTTGACTAACTTAAGATATGACATTTACGTCCTATTCGTTTTGTTGCGACGCTGTATGGCAAACAAATAATTGTTCCGGGTCTGGATTATTGTCCAAGTGCAATATTTGTATGTATGTAAAACTCATCTACGATACAGGAATATCTTCAAGTATGTTACAAACGCTATTCCCTCGTCTACTTCTTAAAGATTAAAGAACATTAAACTGTGCTTAGTTTGTAAATTAATTTTATTCACTTTCTGCACTTCAGATAGTAAAGGACAACAAAACGTTTCCTTAAAACCAGGTATCAATTAAAAGTGCACTCTATATCACATGAAATAAGGTCGAAAATTGTTCTAGTTATTTTACTTCGTTAGGCAGTACACTTGTTAAATTCATGTATTTTTTGTCTTCGTGTTGTATATAAATATTAAACGATATTGATATTCATGCACGTAGAAATGATTGATAAAAATCGACTTTCTCACACAATTTGAGTTAATGGCTTAAGTTGTGTTATTTGAAGACTGTCTTATCTCTAAGTCAATAAGACTCAAAATTGAATAGCTCTGTTGAACAAGCAAGTAGAGCTTTTTTTGGGTAAATCTGTATCGCCCAATACTGACACTGAACAAGAATTTATACACTGCTGTTTTTCGGTCTGAAGGCCAGTATATTTCACGTTGTGAGACATTGAATCTTAGTCCTTAGTAGATGTGACATCTCATCTGTAACCTCCTTTAATTAAAGGCTGTTAGTTGTCTATTAGATATAGTAGCGACTTACCATCAGGTAGAAAGTTCGCTTGTTTGCCTTAAACGTTCTAAATATATAAATTATCTTAGTAAGGATTTTTTTTTATAAAAGCCCTTTTATGTCAGTAGTAATGTTCGCAGAAATACTAAGTTATTATTAATATTATATATGTATATGTATTTCAGAGTATTTTATTAGCTACTATCGAGATACTAACGTATTTATTTCGCTTAATTTAATGCCAAGTTCCTATATTTAAAAAACGTTTTGCTTTGTGTTACGTTTATTAGTTGTATATTTTACTAAGTGCGTATAAAAGTGACATAAAAAATGCGTTCTTAATTAATTGTTTTTAAAGTTTAGATTATTTAAAGTGGGCTTAGTTCAATGTTGTGCTAATACTATTGCTTTTTTTGTTCTTTAAAATTGAGATTAATAATAGGCTAAATCCTCTGGAAATTGTATTTAATTTTTTTCATATCTTAGTTAGTTAATTTTCATATATTTAATATAATTAGTTATCCCTAAATTACGCCTGTTTCCAATAATTACGTACCCATTTTACGCATTTCATACGCAAAAGATCGTAACGCGAAATGAGACGTTTTTTAAGTATAGTGATCTTTACTAAGTCGTAGTGTTTTGATGCTCAGTTTGTTATGTAACATTGTTACTAACGTGACTAAAACTGCATTTTTATATTTTTTAATATTTTTAATCGATTTATGTGGACTGACTTGGTTCTTTACATTGAAGTAATACGTACTAGTACTATTTACTAGAAAATACGTCTAGACTTGTTTGCAACACGCTTTAGTCTGTGCCATAAAAAGGTACACTGAGTCTCCTTCCACGCGCACAGATTTTGCACGCGGTGTCTGTTCTAGTACGTAGTACATGTAACTTTAATGATTTCATAGTTTATATGTTTTGGCTCACGGAAGGTATATGATATAGTAAGTGCATAAATGGATTATATCATATCAGTTTGTATATCTTTATGATTAAGAGGACAAAACTTACGTTAAAGTTTTTTGTACTTTATAATGTGAACCTAGTGTTGAATAAAACTACTTTAACGGATCTTATCGCATTTAAATACACTTGTTTTAACTCCTGACATCTCTGTCATGACCATGGGTGCTGCAAAACACTCGAATCGCCGGGAATTGAAATTAAACGCGTTGAAATCCTTAAAAATAATTTTATTCAATGTGTTGTGTTTGTGTAAATATAAGAAATCATTATAATAAACCTTGTGTTCTTCGATCAGTCCTTCAAGTTTCTATTAATCTATAAGATTTTAAATGTATTTTTTGGAGGGTAGTTACTCAAAAACTTTTTGGTTTATTTAATATGTACCTATCTCGTTTTTATACATTAAAAGCATTTCTTATAAAATAAATTGCACAATACATTGTAAGTTCACACTTTTAAACAGACACTAAGTCAGTCCCGAGTAATTTCTAGTAATTTATTATATTTTAGAGAGCAAATGTGATTTTACTCTCAATTAATCTAAGTAAAGAGTCTCTAACAATTTAATGTTGGCTATGTTTTAATTTTCAATACTTGGGTTGCCATTAACAAAAATACCTGTAAATTATAAAATATTAGCGACAGTTAAAATATATACAAATTGTGGTTACTACTCTAATATAAAATCATTGAATGTTAAATAAACTAACTGGTAACCCTCAATACAAGTTTTATATTATATTCATTTGACATTTTAAAGAACATGGAATTATTAATTCGCTGTGGTCATTTTGGAAATACAGTTCCTAATTACTCTTTGAATATTTATTCTACCTGGCAATAATATTTTTTTTTTATATATTAATGTCAGTTGCCAATTATATTAAACAATATTATTAAACTTAGTGTGAGAATTAATTTACGCTTGTCCAAGTTATAATCGAGATCAAAGCTTAGATGTTCTAAACAGTATTTTTGTACTATCTAATTTTGTGATGAATTTTTCTGTCGATTTTTTAACGTATTTCTACTAAAGAAGTTTGTAAAACGATAAATAAATTGTGTACACTTGTATAATTTGCAGTTTTATTCTTTATTGCATGCCTTAAGCGCAAAGCGCGTTGGTATTTTTTTAGGAGAGGGGGCAAACGAGCGACTCACCTGATGGTAAGTGACTACCGCCGCCCATGAACAACTGCAACACCAGGGAATTGCAGATGCGTTGCCGGCTTTTTAAAAAGGAGAAGGATCTTTTCTTGAATATGTATCGGTCCGGAAAAATCGCTGGTGGTAATCGACTCCACAAGGAAGTTGTGCGAGGGAGAAAACTTCTTCTAAATCGCACAGTGGTGAACCGCCAATCATCCAGATGGTATGGATGGTAACGCGAGTTTTGTCGCGATGTGCGATGGTGAAATTGAGCGGCTGGAATTAGTCCGAACAATTCCTCAGAGCACTCCCCATGATAAAATACGCAAAGAGATGCAACATCTCTACGCAGTGCCAGTGAGTCAAGCCGATTGGAAAGAACTCACTCGATATCAGTCACACAGAGCAGACGTGCATTTGGTTCACCAATAAAATTGTAATAACATACTTTTCTAAACTGAACATGACTGAACAGTGATGAAGATAAATTTGCAACTTGGAGTCCACTGTTTGTTGCGACGTTTCGTTAACCACTTGACAAGTTACGTCACTTAGCTGTCCTCCTCAACAGTTCGGGTAAGGAGCACAGATATTTATTTTCTATCCTTCTCACTTGCCTTCGCACCAGTGCGAATGCATCCGAAGTGTGCCCATATTTGTGACATCGAAGTACGGTGTGTGGTCTAAGTTATGAGCGTACAGCGGTCATCACCCAGACTGAGTGGCTCGCTTACAGATCTAACAAGAAATGAGCCTACAGTGGAGGACCAAATAACCTACCGAAAACTCAAACAACCTGAATCAAACTGCAGCTGTACCCAAGAGATACAAGAGTTTCGAAAGGAAATTACGTCATTACTGACCAAATTCACAAAGGCACAGGAAGAAACATTAGATTTCATGCGCAATAATTTAGCGGAAGTTAATTCTAAACTAAATGAAATAAAATTATCTACGGATAAACTTAGCAATGATCAGAATGTACTAAAATCCCAAGTCTCAAATTTGATTAAAAAAAGCTGATAATTCTGATACCAGCATTCTTAAACTGGAAACAGAAATGGCCAAAATCTAAGAATTTAATATAGATACGAACAGTGAAGAAAAAATAATGCAAGAAATGAGAGAACGTATGGTTCGAGAAAAAATATTGTTGTTGTTGGTGTAAGAGAGTATAAAGACGCAAACACAAATGAAGCCTATTCCCATGATATGACAGAAGTAGTTGCTATAATCAGGAGTTTGATCGGGGATTGCCCTAAACCTGTTAAAATATTCCGCATAGGCAAGTTTAACGCACTCAAGATTCGCAACATCAGAGTCTGCTTTGATTCTTCAGAAACAGTCAAAATGCTGTTACGTAATAGGGGAAAACTGCAAGACAATATTAAGATCTTCTCTGATCAAACTCCAGCTCAACAGAAATATTTACAAAATTTGAAAGAAGAACTAGCACGAAGAGTATCTAGTCATGAGAATGATATCACAATTAAGTACATCAGAGGAATACCCAAAATCGTTAAATTGGAATCAAAAAACGACAAGAGCTCCTCTACCAACATCCATTAAATAATAAAGATATAGAAGACATTACACACCAAGTAGTTGATTGTTATCAAAACGTGACGTTAATTTCTTTTATGCTAATGCCAGAAGTATTTGTAAACCAGGTAAATTTGATGAACTCATGTGCATTATCGAAGCTTTTAATAAAATCATACATATAATATTACTGACAGACCTGGATAAGATCAGATGATCAAGTGGCACGTTTTCAAATAACGAACTATTCACACTACTACAACATTCGATCGGATGTCATTGGAGGCGGAGTATCCATCTTTGTGCATAATAATCTAAAGCAGGACCTAATTATGGAATCTTACACTGGCAGAAACAACTACTTGTGGATACATCTTGAAAAATATGCACTTGCTGTAGGAATTGTGTACAAACCAGGTCACACGAATCTTAACAATTTTCTCAACACATATCAACTGCAACTGCAGCAAAAAAAGAGCGATTGTCTTTGGCGATACAAATATAGATCTTTTGGTATCTGATACTAAGACCACGTTGTATAATAAT